TTATATAAACAAAGTTATTTCTTTTCCTGCCACAGGGCCACAGGCAGAAATTCCAGTTGAAATATGTGGAACCTATGTACTTCGTTTTTATACATGTGTTGTCCTTTGTATTATATATGTGTGTACATAAATAATAAATAAAGTTAAATTGAATTCGAAAGAGACGAGGTGTACCTAAATGAGAGGTGTTTAATTAACTCGTCGAGTACCGTCATTATAGACACAATTATAGAACAAAAGGTTGCGGTCACCGGTGACCGCTTGGTGTTTGACAGTTTAATTTTGATAAGTCGAGCCACGCATGCATGACCGATATTAACTTAAACCTATCTCAATCTAAAATTCGTGAATAACGATTTTACACAGAAACTATAAGTCATTAAATTCGGTCGTAAATCAACAATTCAAATAGGTTCACTACAACTTTACATACACGTGAGCAAATCCAATAAACATTCAATTCCGTATCCAGAGTCAAAATGTGATATCTATGACATTCCTAATCTTAGATATTTATGTATATTCTTTTAATATTACCGGATTACTACTATCTACGTACAAAATTATCACAAGGTTAAATTAATTATTGTTTAATATATGACCGTCATATATTTAAGGACATTACGTGTAATTAGGCCATTTTGCCTTATTATTTTAATTATTTTCTTTACATACCGTACAATGGGGTGAATAGGGATCGAGAGGTGAATAGGGAGAGGTGAAAAGATATAAGGAAGTTCTTTATAGTATCGTTTCACCCCTCTTCTGTCCCTCTTCACCGCTCAAACCCTATTCACCCCATTTTACCGTAACGCTAACGCTCGTTGGCAGAATGGTCGCCAGTGCGACTGCCGAGCAAGGGGTCTCGTGTCCAATTCCCGGGTCGGGCAAAGTATATTTATTTTATTTTTTATTTAAGCCTTTACTGCCGACAAAAACTGTTAAAGGCTAATCCTCCGCTAGCGTCGGACAACATTGTCCGACACGGCAGCCAATGTGTTAAAAAGCTTTATGCACACAAAATCATATGACACAGTACCTATCGAATAGGTACTGTGTCATAACTTTAAACTGGGCTGGATCTTTTCTGCTTAACAGGGTCCAATTACAATAAGACCAATAAAACCAATACAAAAACCATAACGTGTTATCAAAATGAATGACAATATTAAGAATGTAGTTCAAATTAAAACTGGATTTAGAAATATCTTTTCCGCAAACTAAGTACACTGGTTTCCAACATGGCTACCAGTGACATAAACGAACAATCTCTGAGCGAAATATTTATTACTGCTTTTCTGCTTGTGGTTTCGTCAACAATGGTATGCCTTACAATTGATCCTAATAATGAAATATCGGAAGAAATAGGCCACATTAACTTTTTTTACAAAAACGTTGCCCCACACTAGGATTTTCTCCTGCATCGTGGGTGCGTTTACAAACATATATGTCAAATACACATGACACCCAGATCCGGAACAACTGTCTGTAGATCACACAAAGAGTTGCTCCGTGCGGGAATAACTCGCGACAGCCTTCTACCCAGCCATCGCAATAACCATGCATGCAGTCAACTTATTTAAAAACTAGCTTTCTTAATGGATATTTTTTTTAATCAGTCTAATAGTTTTAAGGCCTATACAAGGCCTACAAACAAATCTTTCCTCTTTATAATATTAGAATAAATTATGTAAGATATAAGATTGGCAAGCGAATATGAGAGGAATATCTAATTTATTATGACCATTATCAATCGGAACCGGAAATAATTAATATTTAATGTCGTGACGTCATTTTTGTGCCGAGGTTGCGTATAATATCTTAGTGGATATCTATGGCTTCAGTATGCAATAAATTTTGCCTAGACTATGAAGGTTTTTGAAAAAACATATATTGGTTCATTACCATTATATGACGGTTTATAAAGAGAATATTATATTGCTCCTTCTATTCGTCGAATCAACAGACTACATCATATTACTGCAGATTTCAAACTCAAAATTCGCATAAACGCTATTAATTTGAGCACCACATTTCAAACCCAAATACACACACAACTTAGAACTAATAAACAAGCATTACTATCTAATTATTATATTTACTTTTTACTCCGCCGACGAGGCAGTCATTTTTTGTTTTTTTTTTTAACTACCAAAAAGGTTTAATTCGAAATTGAATTTGAAATAACTAATTTGCATAGCAACTAACGGCGCGCCGTCGAATTGTAAAGTTAATCTTTATCGATAAAATTAATATCGAAACAATGATATCGAAAAAATAATGAATATGTCGATTAAGCAATTAATAAGTTATTTGACGCCACGACACGTGCGTGAAATTGAAAGCCACGGTGGAAAAGTATAGACGAATTGAAACGGTCGTCTTTTGTTTTTAATCATTTTATAATTCAAGTTCGATAACGCAGAACAATTAAATAGAAGTACGTAATAAACTTTTAGTAAAATTATGAGGCAGAAACTTCAAATGCTAGTAATTAAAATGATTTATGGATAAATAGACCGTGTGATTATGGAAAAATACATATTATGTCACCACCCCTGATCTCCCATGGGCATATTTAGAGCCAAGAGCCAACTAAAAGACTATACATTTGAAAGTGCGAGCAGCAGCACTATTTTTTTGTTTGAGACAAGTCCGCCACGTCCTCCCAAAACCGCTGCAACTCCTGTAAGCCAGGATCTACAGTAGATACAACCATGAAAACACCGGAACGCTGAAGTCCGACGCGTCTCAAGGACATGAACAACTGTCGTGATTCCCGCAACGAAATAAATCCGAAGATATTAGTAGAGGAGAAGAAAAACCGATAATTTCTAAAAACGAGCACCAACATGTTTTAAACTGCGATACCGCCTGTCAAGTGTCGAGCTTATGGCAAACCAGTCTTGTAGACCAAGAAGAACTAGAGTTCAACCCCTAAAACTTCACCAAGGAGTAAGGAGTCCAGTCCTCGGACTCCTTAGTCCAGTTTGCACTCACACGAAATGTTGACAATGAGGATCATCATGTTTTTATAATAACTATAGTGGGACATACTAAATTAACTTAAATCGCGGGTTACTCACGTGAATACCTCTATACTGAGAAAAGCTCTACTAGTTTCGAACTACAGAGGGGTTCTTCATGAGCAGCGTGCGCGGTCGCGGCGACGTCGCGCACCTCTAGCAGCACACGCACTCGCTCTTGAGGAAGAACACCTCTGTGGTTCGAAACTAGTAGAGCTTTTCTCAGTATACTCAGTTGTGTAACCTGCGATTTTAGAGGATAATCATGATGAAAAAAGTCCAACTTAATTTATACTCTTACCTTTAGCAATTTCGCTAGCAGCATACTGCAAGATTCCATTCTGTAAGTTGCCGTTTCCATTGGTAGCATTGTTGCCATCTCTGAACTTCTCCTGGACTTGAGACAGGTCATTCTTGTTCCATTCCGTGTTCAGTGACTCTTCCATTGCCTTCTTATTGTTGTAGTCTGGCACTTTGCTCTCAGGGAACGGCATGCCGTTTCTGCAAATGTAAGGATTGATGAGTAATGCTTGAAAGGGATTAAAATGACGAACTAGGATTGTCTCCTGTACCATGGTTGTGGTCTTCAAAGACATAACATTTCACAAACCAGGAACAATAATGTGTGGATCGCACAATTTGTTCCAACCAGGAATTGAAACACTTTTCTATAAGTACCTATCATAATAACTTAACGTTACGAATTTTAATGGTACAAAAAGATTAAGTAGGTACATACATCTCAAAAGTTGAACTCGAAATCACATAAAAAATAAGCGAATCTGCTGACCTGAAGTAGGTACCTAAACAAAATACAAGTCATTGACATCAATCGCTAAAGGGTAATCATATTTTTTTGTAATTTAATGACAATCTTGTTTACGTACTTACAATGCCAAAAATAAATACCTACACATTTAAAAATTTTTGGCGAAATTGTTAAAGATATTTGATGATTCGAATCTAAGTAGATAGCCTATCTGATAGTAGGTTACCACACAGACAGCCTAATTGAGATCGTAGGTCGTAAGGAACTGCTGTAATAAGGTCGCTTCGATCCGCGAGCCGGTGTCCATCTGGAAGTCATTGAGGGAGACCTATGCTCAACACTAGACTTCTTGTGGTTGATATAATGATGATATGAAGTTAACAGACTCTTGTTTAATTAACATTGGTGAAACAGGCCCTGAAAGAAATCTTAAATAATATATTTTACCAACTCACCTAATATCATTCTTTCCATTGTCAATAGCTCGCACCAGCTTGCCAGTATTGTCTCCGTACTCGCCGCAGGACACTTCAATGATGAATGAAGCCGGGTTGTGGTACGACGGACACTGCAGGCTCAAACTGCCGAGCCATTCAACTGTTGAAAACATTACATTATAAGACACTTAATATAAGATCTTATATATAAGAGATATAAATCCACAAAGTATATTAAATCTGTCACCTACATTGCAAAAATCCCCTCGTTTCTGAACTTGTTCGCAACAAAGGTGACAGATTTTTGCGTCGCTGATGGCGCTTGTGAGATATAAAATGTTGTCTATTATATCATGTTAGTCCAATTTAGGGTGTTACCTCAATTTTTCTAATTATAAGTCCTATTTTAAAGCAAGTAATATTATTATATCAATACGTAAACGGATTTTATGACATTAGTAAACGCTGAGTCAATTGGCTATGAGACGAAAAGCTACACTAGCGCCACCCAGATTTGCAAAAACGTTAATTAGATAAACTCTAGTTAGAACAGGTGCATTAGTTTATAGTAATAAAGTTAGTCATCTTTTTGTATTGAGGTAACACCTGCGAGAGATTTATTGTTATCTGATTGCGATACTAAACAATGATAAATGTATGTAACAGCTGTTGACTCATGACTACTATTTTGCGTACATTTATATTACAGGAAAGTCATTTTGTAAGAGCTAGTATTAAACGTAGATAGCTATCTACAATTCTAAGTAACAATTTAGTTTATCTCTTTACTTGAGTAAGAAGACAAGGTAAGAATAATAATTATGAAAATGATTTTAGTATGTGTTAATAACATACCTTCTCTGTGTATTCCATATATAGTGATAATCTTAATAACTTAAATATACAAAAATCAATAACAAACAAAGTAAACTTACCAAGTCGTCCAGTGCTTCCCTGGTACACACACTGTCCATCAGCCAACGTGTACAAATGATCGAACATCTCGAACAGCCTCGCAGAAGGTTGATGGATAGTGCAGATGATGGTCCTGCCACCCCTAGCCAGGGTCTTCAGCAGAGATATACATTGGAAGCAAGAAGAACTGTCCAGACCAGAAGTGGGCTCGTCAAAGAACATAATAGGAGGGTTGTTCACCAGCTCCAAGGCGATCGAAAGTCGTTTTTTCTGACCTCCAGAGAGATTCGAGGTCATCGTCTTGTGGTGTTCTGATAGACCAAGGGTTTCCAGGATTTCGTGAATCTAGAAAGAGTATTTTTATGAGAGACTGAATACATGTAGTAAGTGCCTTAAGTTCAACTGTAATGAGAAGGTTTTTTGTTGTTGAATTTGAAGCATGAAATAACATGACATGAACAAATTAATACCTGAAGTTCTGGTTTGGATAAAATTAGCAAATAATAGATATTTCATTTATCAATAATCGTTTCTAGGATTAGGAATCATCATTATAAACTCTTCAGTATTTATAGTCTGAACTCGTCGAGTACCGTCATTATAGACACAATTATAGAACAGTAGGTTGCGGTCACCGGTGACCGCTTGGTGTTTGACAGTTTAATAGCAGATAAGTAAATCTTAACTATACCAATTTTACTACTCTCACGATTCATAATTTTGCAAAGTAGACATTTAAATAAGTAGTTAATAATAACATACCACTTCCTCCTTATCAGCGCTGGTGGTGGCACTGGGCAGCTTCAGAGCAGTGGCTACAGCCATGGCCTCCTCCACAGTCAGGTTACCATGGAGCTGGTTGTCCTGCATGATGTAGCAGGACAGCTTACGGAAACTTGAGAGGTTGCGCTCCATACCATTCACTGTGATACTGCCTTCCATACCCGATGTCCTGAGAAAGATAATTAAATGTTAGTTGAAGGTAAATAACTTAGACTAGAAATATTTTTAAATACAATGTTACCAAGATATAAGATTACATTGCCTACACTGTCAAAAAGATATCCAATATGATACACAAATTTCTAATGCTGCAAGTTCAACAAAATCATGTCTGTTTCCCTTCGGATGAACATGTTAAGAGGTTTTTGGTGCCAAAGGTAAGTGTTGTCATGTCATGTTTCAAAGTCATATGATGAATCATTTAAAATCACCCAGCACAGATAATAAGGTTCCAAATACTATGCTGTTTTTAAGCATTGTACCACTCGATAATACAGTAAACAATAGCAAATGAGGAAGAAATTAAAATATACTAATAAATTGTAACGAATGCCGCTATTTCACTGCAATAGTTATAATAAATCATTATATTTAGTAATTTGCACATAAATATTCAAAAAGTAAGGCCTTCGTAGAAATTGTTTAGTTTACCGATAAACATACCACATGGCTATTTGACTATTCAATATAGTTATCAACTTATTCTATCGAGATTGAATATATTAATGACCTTTTTCAATAACAACCCATTAAACCATCTCATAGCTAAAAGTTACTTACTAACCCCTTACTTGTACTGTTAACGGTCACTTATAGACTAGTGAAAAGCAAAATATCGTTAATAGTCACCTATCTTAACTTAGGGTTCCCTTAAAATTTAGAGGAGATTGGTTAAAACATGTTATAATCACGAAATAAAGTAAATAGTAATTGTACAATCTTGACTTCAGAATCTGATCTTTTGTTTGCATCAACATATTTTTCCTTCCAATTTGAGAGTACTGTATGACTAATACTAGATACCATCAAAATATTATCAGTGAACGTTATCCTATCAATATTAGTGTTGTTACTCATCCGTATAATCAATCCGATACTTATCCTCGGTACTCTAAATAAAATAGATTTATTATTAAGAGATTTTTTGACTCATAATTCAAAACAATGGTGACTAAGCGATGGCCTAGTGTGGTGGTTAAAGAATACTGATTAATTTTTTAACCAAGCAATGCATTTACAACTTTACTGCAAAAAAATAAGGTTACAAATCTGTTGCATTTGATGACTGTTTTATTTTGCTGGCGATTTAGAACAATCCACTAAAATTGTCTCTTTTGGGTAATCCTTTGAGAATCTATGGTAAAATAAAATAAGTACTTAGATGAATATTCACGTTTATATTTGAAAACAACCACGATATAATCAATAGCAAGACCTGACATTGACATGCTCACCCAGTGGCCTTAGAGTCTGTACCTACCTATGCGATAGAACAAATTATCTAATCGATGGAAACAAATTATAAATGAATGCATCGGTTAACTAGGACATGATACTAACTTGGTGAACCGCTTTATAAAATAGGTCTTCGTATGAAATCATTTCCATGTTACTTTTTTACGTGACTATAGTGTCTTATTGGAACTAGCTGTTGCCCGCGACTTTGTCCGTGTAGAATAATGGCTTCTGGCAGAATTTATGCTTTTGAATTAATCTTTATCAAGGAATATTCTATGGTAACGAATGTCGCCAGAATTGATTAAGTACCTAGTATAGGGCTCCTCCCCTGTAGATGATAGCGCGTTAATATGTAGCCTATATGTTGACCTGACTTGTTAGTAATATTCATGTAAAAATTGAAGTAAATCCATGCAGAAAATTTTGAGATCATCTCGGACATACATACAGACAAAAATTCTAAAAACCATACTTTTGGCTTCGGTATTGTTTGTAGATCACGCCCCACGTATTCTTTCAAAAAATATTAAATATACAGTTTTGACTTATCTACGATTTTATTATATGTATAAAAGAAGATATACATGAGGAATTTTTTTTTATAGCATAAACCGGTAATCGAGCAGACGGATCACCTGATGGTAAGCAATCGGTGCCGCCCATGGACACTCGAAACACCAAGGCATTACAAGTGCGTTACCGGCCTTCTGGGAATTGAGAATTTGAGGATTGTGGAGGATTCGGGGATTCGGATGTACACAAAACAGAGAAGTACCTCATCTCAGTGCTGATTATTTTACAGATGCTTTCAAACCTAATTATTCCGCCACGAAAGAGCCTATACCGTCCCCAGGATCAAATTATCAGTTATTGTTTTAGCATAGTAGTTTTTGTTGCTTAGTCAGAAGATTCATAACGCGAAAGGTGTAATGTTATATCTATATTAATATGTCGCAACGGTATAATAATATTAAATTAATTAATATTATGGGTACATACATATGACTTTTTTTTTAAGGGGGAAAACCATCGAATGGCTGCTCCCGCCTGGGTGAGGCGGGAGGGAGTGACAGACTCTTACTAACTAAAAACCACCCCGTTCCTTCTCCTGCACGTCGAGCCGGAGCCCCGGTAACCCGTTAGGTTGTCCACGACTCCGAACATACATATAACTAAAGAATCTTTTGACTTAAGCATTCAAGTGCATCAGAAATGAAAAAACAGGTGGTCGTCCTTACTTATTCCTATATACGGTGTTGCAAAGGACATTGTCTTAAATATTCTGCAGAAAAAAAACGAATGTATTGTAAATATTTCTAACCATTTTGTAGGGCAAAGTGTTATTAGTGTCTTTTGTTTCGACATTGTCAATAACATTGGAGTCTAGGTTACCGTACATTGTATGGTAAGACTGGTGACCTTTTTTGTGACTTATAACATGAACGACAAATATTATAAGCAAAAAAATGTACACTAATATCATAAAGAGGAAAGATTTGACTTTTTTTTTTGCTTGTTTGTATAGGCTCCTAAACTACTAGACCGATTTGGAAAATTCTTTTATTCATTGTAATTCTACATTGTCTGCGATAACCATAAATTACATTTAAAAAGAGAAAAAGAAAGGGAACCGTGTGAAAATATCAATAATGTAACCCGATGTATGAAAAATCTATCAAAAAGATCCCAATATTGCTTACAAATTTTTCACTGTTCTGTCAGAAGAACCTGATATTGCTTACACTGTTTCACTGATCTGTCAGAAGTCATTATATTACAGGGACAGAGTGGTCGGGAAGTAGTAATGTATTTTTTTTAAGGGGCGATAGTCATCGGATAACTGCTCCCGCCTGGGTGAAGCGGGAGGGAGTATCAGACTCTTAATGACTAAAAACCACCCCGTTCCTACTCCTGCACTTCGAGCCGGAGCCCCGGTAACCCGTTAGGTTTTCCGCGACAGCTAGTAAAGTATAATGAGGCATTTCTGCCTATAAATGTATATTAATTGTTTTTGGAGTCATTCCGAAGAGATCCATGTTCAGTAATTAACGTTTTGTGGTTGTATTGAATCGTAATGTGAACCAACGAATTATGATTAATTAAGTGTAACCTATGGAGTCATGGAGTGTCGTCATGGCCCGGAGGTTTAAGACGCCCGCTTCTCATGCATGAGGATACGGGTTCGAAACCTACCAACGGCAAGTAGCAATGTGACTTTTACCGAGTTATATGTACTTACTTTCTAAGATTATTTAGACACCACTGACAAACGGTGAAGGAAAAACATCGTGAGGAAACCTGGACTTATAATTTCTTATTATAAGTTTGAAATCGCCAACCCGCATTGAGCAAGCGTGATGATTAATTCTCAAACCTTCTCCGTGTGAGAAGAGGCTTTGCTCAGCAGTGGGCATTTATAGGCTGTTGATGATGGTGTTTCTTGCTTGTTTTTCTCCATAGGAATCTACGCTTTGGTATGAGCATAGCTTCCCTAGAGGACTGACCGACAGACTGTAATTTTTTATTTTTTTGTTTTGACGTTCATAAGTGCCTTTCTGGTCTGGTTGTAATAGATTAATTTGACTTTGATATGATGATAATGAAATGTTTTAAAAGTCTTTTTCAAAGTAAAACCTACGTGAAAAAAGGATCATTACAAAACGAGAATATTTTAATAAAATAATCTTTTGATACAATGAAGTCACGTACAAATAGAGATGGGATTTTACCCGGAAAAAACCACAATATGGGGAAAATAAGGAAAAAAAACCCGGGGAAAATTACCGAATGGGATAATATTCGGGTTTTTTCATATTTAACATAATTATGTAACAAATAAGTAATGTGTAGATTATGGACATATCATATAGTACGTACTATTTAAGTACTATTACTACAAGTTAAAGCTAATCTAACTTTGTTTATGTTCATATTGCAGTAATAAAATAACGTTCTGTATATCCTTAGGTACCTACTATCTAATGAAATAAAATAAAATTAAATAAAAATCCTGTCTGTTTGTGTGTGATCCTCCGCTTTTAGCGACAGTTAACCCGAAACTATGTGGGCGGGTAGAGGGGCGGGGGAGCAGGCAGTAGAGGGGCGAGCGCGTTGGTGTATCTATCTCACACGTCGTTTCGGCTTCATACTGTGCGCACTCGCGTTAATTTGTTGGCGACTTGGATTTTGTTTTGTGGACTTTTGGTTACCTAGTGATTATAAACGTGATTTCCTTTGGATTGACAATAAGTTATTGTCAATAACTGCTACTCTTACAGACTTTAATACCTAATTCTTTACGAACGATAATTTACCGGTAAGTTTGAGCTTCCATAATTGTTATATTAGACTATAAAAGTTTTAAATAGTATATTTGTAGATTCCTTACAAAGTTTGTACATTTATTTATTGAAATTGATATGTTTTGATTTTCTAAGTATATTTACTTGAGGTAATGTTATTATAAAAGTTGAAATTAGTCATGTACAGAGATGGCCGAGTGCTTGGGCGTTTTAGGCAATTTGGGCAAAGTAATTTCTTCTTTAGGCCATTTATGCTTATTTCATATTAGTTTCGTAGGTTTACCTATTCTGTTAACACCATACTTTAGAACAATTCTAATCATTTCTAATGTTTTACGTTGCTTTTTTTACCTTTAGATCACATCATGCCCAGAAAGAAAAATACTGATGTATGGGACAACTATTTTCA